AAAAATATAATAAATAAAAATAAAATTTTACTGTTATGACATGACCACCTGTGAAGAAAAGCCAGTGTGATACACAGAGTAGCTAGTGGAACTAACCCATGAATTTAGAAAGAAGACACCAGATCAATGTAAAACACTAATAATAAAAAATTAGAAATTACATTTTAAAAAATCAGAAGACATGAAATTATTTGGCATAAATCTGACAAAATGTAGAAGACCTATACAATGAAAACTATAGAACATTTTTTTTAAAGATTTCTTTATTTATGCATACAAGAGCTGGGGTACAGGCCAGAGATGCTGGGGGTGAGAGGATTCACCAGAGACAGAGTGGGGAACAGAACAGGCAGACTGACTGAAATACACTGCTGAGGGGAGCAGCAGGTGAGATAGAAGAGGTCTGCCTTGCCATGTGGGTTGCTTCCTGGCATGCCGGGGATTGAACTCATGCTGCAGAGGCTGCGGACTGCTTTATAGTGTGGTGCTTAACCCCTTGCACCAGCAGGGAGGTCCCTATAGAACATTCTTGAGAGAAATTAAAGACCTGTACAAATGCAGAGGTATACCTTGTTCAGAATACTCATATTAAGATGTTCTTTTCCAAGTTAATACATAGATTCAGCATAGTTTTAATGAAAATCTTTGTAGGCTTTTGATTTTTTTTTTTTTTTTTTTTTTTTTTTGGTAGAAACAGATTGCCTCTAAAACTCACATGGAAATACAAAGGACCTACAGAATGGCAAAAACAGCTTTGGCAAACGGTAGATTTCTAGTACAAACAGAAACGTCTAGCCATAGAACACCTGATTGTGCTTTTACTGTGGTCCAGTGAGATCATTTTGAATGGACACAGTTCTTTAATCATCAACATACATTATACTATGCTCAACATTGCAGTATAAATTCCTGAATTAACAGTGGAAATAACCTTAATTGACCCACCATTAGTTATTATTACACTAAAAAGTAAAAATATATATATACTTTTTTGACAAGTCACATCACTGTGTGTTGTTAGTGAAAAAAAAGTGTTTTATATCCTTTATATTAAGATGCTATAAAATATTGGACTGTCAGAAAAGTCATGACCTTTTTTTCATGCTTTCTTTGCAAAAATGCATATGACTTTTCTGACAACTCAGTAACATGAGTTGGGAGACGGAGAATAAGATGAATAGAAGAACATCATTATTCTGTAAAGGTTCTTTAATTGAACTTAGCAGCAACCTTTCATGAAACTGGGGAAAAAACCTTGACCTTTTCATTGCCCCCTTTCCAAAGATGTCAAACAAAAGGTAATTATAGAATAAGTCAGTCTATTTTACATGGTTCAGTTATCAGAAAACTTTAGAGAGCAAATTTTCCATAAATCATCCTGGTGTTATTTGGTCTTGCATTTTTTTTTTAATGTGGGTAAGCTAATGTGTAATTAATCACTTTTGTTGACTTTGAAGGAAATGAAGCTATAGTGGACCCTTTGACCTTTTTTGATGTCTATTAGTGTTATAACATGTAATATGAGAATCTTAAATGCTTAAGCAATAATATAGACAAATGATGTGAAATAAGTAATTCAAGTCTGTTTATACATGTAGTTGTTATGGTATCTGATGATACTGCTGGTCTCAGATACCACCAATATTTCTCTGAAAGTTTTATAGTCAGTTGTTAGAATGTAGATCCTCCTGTTGCCAATTCCCTTTGTTTCTTCTTCCAAAATCAAGTTTGGGTTGATTGTTCCTTCTCCACAACTGTTGCCACAACCATTGAATTGTAGCAGACCTAGCTGGGTCATATGGTGAAGAAGGACTGTGAAACCCTACCAACACATTTCCCCTCTTGGGCTCTGTTCCTTCTATGAGTGAACTAAACTACCTTCCCTTTAGAAGTTGGGCACTATTTTAAAAATAAAGCATTACATTTACTAATGACTGTCACTATTAAGTTCAAATAGAAATAGATTTTAAGTTGGAGGTAAGATAAAAAATTTGACTTATTAATTTGATATCATTTTTCCATTTTTAAGCAGAATAGAACATTTTTCTTAATCTAGAAGGTTCAGTGGGCTCTGTCCCTGGAAATTTTACACTGTGTATATCTAATCTAATCCAATCTAATCTAATTTATTTTTTTTCCTGCTCTTCCCCTCCTCCCAAAGCTCAGATCTTTTTTTTTTTTGTAATTTTATTTTTATATTCCCCATACAATTGCAACCCCCTTATTTTGACCCCAACCCTCCTTTCCCCACCCCCCACCCCCAGTGTGTGTCTCTGGTTCATAGTTGTTTGTTGATTTTTTTTCTTTCTTATAGTTATTCTTTTTCCTGGTCCCTTATTTAGGTTTTCTAGATTCCTGCTATGAGTGAGACCATCCGGTATTTTTCTTTTTCTTTCTGGCTTATTTCGCTGAGTATGATCCCTTCCAGCGCCATCCATGTTGCTGCAAACTGCATGTGTTTATCTTTTTTGTTGCCAAAGCTCAGATCTTAAGAGTGAGCATTGCTCTACCCTAATGGCCACTATTAATGAAAAAGATACAAAGTTCCAGAAGATTGAACTCTCTGGTTTCAGTAATGCTGTCCTTAAAATGAGTTGTAAAATGTTCGCCTCTGTTTTCTGCTCGCTTGTATGTTGAATAGTGCCCCTTCCCCTCAAATACAGGTTGAAGTTCTAATTCCATTACCTCAGAATTTGACCTTATTTGGAAATAGGGTCATTGCAGATATAATGTTAAGAGGAAGTAATACTTCCTCTTAACTATGGTGGATCTTTTTTTTTTTTTATATAGAGGCATGTTTTATTTATTTATTTGTTTGTTTGTTTGTTTTGTTTATACAAGCACTGGGTATAGTCAGAAGCGCAGGAGGGTGAGAGAATTCACCAGAGCCAGAGCGGGGAGCAGAGCAGGCAGAAGGACTGAAGTACAGTGCTGAGGGGAGCAGCGGACATGGCAGGAGAGGTCTGCGCGCCATGTGGGACCCTCCTCCGGTGGCCGGGGAGCAGCCGGGGATCGAACTGGCACCGCTGAGACCGCGGGCAGCTTCGCAACCCAGCGCTCAACCGCTGCGCCACCGGGGAGGCCCACTATGGTGGATCTCAATTCAACTTGACGGTAGCTTGATAAAGGCACAGACACATAAGGGGATAATGCCTGTGCAAACAGAAGCAGAGACAAGTTCTACAGTTGCAAATGAAGGAATACTACAAATTGTCAGCAAACTATCAGAAAGTACAAAAAGGCAAGGACGGTTTCTCCTGTATATTTCAGAGGGAACTAGCCTTGCTCACACCTTGATTTAGAATTCTAGACTCCTGAACTGTAAGACAATAAATATTGTTGTGTAAGTCACCTCATTTGTGAGACATTCTTAGTAAACGAACACAGATTTGTGTTGTTTCTTTCTTTCAAGTTTGATAGAATTCATCCAGTTTTCTTTGTGGAAAGATTTTAATCTAGGCTTCACATGCCAGTAGTTCTGAGGTTGAAAAACCTCTTCTAAGGTTTACAGTGTGCACCTTTTACTTTCAAATAATATTTTGTCACTTCATGTTTAACATAAACAGTTTATAATATATTTCCACTCTCCCCATTCCATCCTTTATGTGGACATACTTTTGACTTCTGTTTGTACTATGAATACCATTATTGTTGTTGCTTTTGCTTTAAACACTCGATTAAGAAAATTCTAAAATGAGGAAAAAAATAGTTGTTAATCGTATTTTCAGTACCCATATTTTTTGTATGAATCCAGATTTCCACCTGTTGTTTTCCCTTTCCACAAGAACTATTTTCATATGTTTTACAGTGAAGGTCTGCCAGTGACATCTTCTGTCAGCTTTTGTTGAAAAACTCTGTATTTTGTCTTTGGTTTGGTATAGAGTTGACCATTGACAAATTTTAAAATGTTCTAAAAGGCACTATTCCATTTTTAATTTGCACTAATACAAGACTTTAAAAAATCTGTATGTTTTAAGGAGTATTTTTGGATTTTATTATTGAAAACAGTTTTGGGGGTTTTTTTGACTAGTGTTTTTCCATTTTTTCCTTCACTTGTTAAAAAAATTTTGGAGCTTCTCTAAATCTCAGTTTCTTACTCTGTAAAATTGAACTACCTATGATTCTCACAGGTTTGATGTGAAAAATAAATAAAGGAGGCAGAATACCTAGAACTCGTAGGGACACATAAACATGAAACAGGGTACATGGGAATCTCCTCATCCAGCTTCAGCTGTTCTGACTTCAGGGTGCACTCACGTGAGCAGATCAGTGGGAGTCCCTGCTCCGAGTTCTTCCCAGCCACTGGTGGCAGCTCTCTATACACATTGCCTGCCCTTCCCTCACTCCCTGGGCCAGACTTGGTCAAAATGTGGAGTCCCCGGGGGGACCATTGATGTGCATTATTGACACTGGTTATGATTTCTGCTCCTACCAATAGTTCACATATTGATTTTTAAAAAATCTGATCTTATACTTAAGCAATTTTGGAAGGTATTTTTTTAGGATATTTGCACCTTTAAGTTATTTGAACATAGTAAAAATCCATGACATTATATATTATATAATTTGCATGTTTCATTTATTCAGGATGCTCTTCCTTCCAATTAGGCTAAAGTTATTTTCATTTTCCACATCACAGTAACACAGGCTAACTGTAATATTTAAAGTAACAAATTTTCATACCAAGAAAATCTTAAAACATAATTAACAGTTTGGATGGTAAGGTTTGTAATCAATAGTAAAAACATTTCTTTCCATTGAATCTAATTACCTTAGAGTATTCAGTAATGATAAGCACATTAAAGAATGCATTAATTAATAATTAATGTTCTTTTCTGTCTCAGCAAGAGGAACTGACTGAGTTTGGTAGACTTGTTTAGATACCTAATGTTTTGCTTTCCTTAGAAGTTGGTTCATCTGCTGTTTGGGGTCCATACCTGGCCACAGGCAGCAGCACTCTGACATCTCTTTTAAATGTCTCCTCGTGTTGCTTTTCTCAGTGGGCCTTTGGAGTGACGCTGTGGGAGCTCATGACTCTGGGCCAAACACCCTATGTGGACATCGACCCTTTTGAGATGGCTGCATACCTGAAAGATGGTTACCGAATAGCCCAGCCAATCAATTGTCCTGATGAGTTGTAAGTTTTCCTGAGCTTGATGACATGGGTTCATTCCATTTACGGTAATGGAATAAAAGAAAAATAGCAGGTGTCCATATTCATACAGAGACTTCACTTTTGAGAATAATGATTCTTTGGATTTGAATTAGAGTCTTGCAGAGAACCACAGTCAACCAGACTTATTCACTCTTTAATGAATTTGACAGTAGGACTTTTTGCAGCTGCTGTTGTAGTATTTAATCTAATCCAAGAGACTAATGTACATGGTGAAAAAACTCTGAATACTATATCAGTTATTCAAAGTATTGTGAGGACCTGACTTTTATTTATATAGCCTTAAGGACACTCGTTGTTATAAAAAGCCTTTCTCATTGCGATCTTGCCTGATACCAGTTAGAATCAATTGGGATATAAGATGTTCTGAGCTAGTGAGCAAGATAGTTCCTGTTTCCTACTTTGTCACATGGCTAACCTTTCTATTTAATGGGCTGTGCAGGAAGCTCTTCGGGGTTGTTTGCATACACAGATGATTGTGGTGTCAGTTCTGTAATCCACTGACGATTTCTATGCTCTGGTGAGGTGGTGGCTTTTGCACTGATTTTATTGTAGATCCAGGGTTCTTAGAACTTAAAGCTTCACTTTCTCTTAGAATTTAAGTGTAGAATAACACAGGTTATTATTTTGGGTATTTGTATGAAATCTTGGTATTTGCTGATAGATTTTTATATCCTCTCATGAGGAATTGAAATCCTCACAAAAAATCTTGGTAACTTCTCTTAGTTTCTTTTTATTTTAGAACTGCCTGCAGATCGTATTAATACTATTAATAATATTAATAGTATTAATTGATTTTCAGTGTGTTATCCCCCCATGCACACATTTAGACAAAAAACTGGCATGAAATTGACTAAAAGTTTAGGAGTACTGTATTAACACTAGCCAACTTTTCCATTTTTGTCATCTGCAGATTTGCTGTAATGGCTTGTTGCTGGGCCTTAGATCCAGAGGAGAGACCCAAGTTCCAGCAGCTGGTACAGTGTCTCACAGAGTTCCATGCAGCCCTGGGGGCTTATGTCTGACTCTACTCTCATAGTCCTGCAGCATCAGGAGGAAGGTGCCTGCCCAGGCTCACTTGGAGCCAGTCACCATTGCTTTGTGCGCCATGCAAAGCCAGCAGAAGCACATTTGTCTTCCAGAACACTGTGCCTTAGGAATGCTTTAGAATCTGAACTTTTAAAAACAGACTTAATGTGGAATATTTTCTAGATATCACTTTTATTAGGTTGAACTGAAAAGTTTTTGTAAATTTTTTGGCCAAAAAATTTTTCAAACATAGTTACTTTGGACTAGGGGTACATTTTACAAAATAAATTAACAGTTTTTTAAATCGTTTAAACAAATATTTTGAATAGCTATCTTAGTGCCAACTGCTTTTTATTTTTTGATTTCATCAAGGTAATGTAGGTGATTCACCTTTAAAGTCTTTTTTTTTTTTTTTTTTTAACATTTATCACTAGTTTTGGGGAATGGTTTGTCTTCAAAGATGCAGTAATTTTCTTAAGAAAAGAAAACAGCATAAAAAGATGTTTGGCTTGCCTTACAAGAAAAGGCTGAATTTAGAGGAAGAAAACTTAAAGAAAAATTAGAGAACAAAAAGGAAACTAAAAGAAACTTAATTAGAAACAAACTGCCCTTTCATGGAACATTGTTTTTTAACTTTTTTAATGTAAAGGAGTTCTGCTTTCTTATTTTAGGGGGAGAGGAGCTGAGTTCATTGAAACATCTTAAATTTGTCAGAAATTAGCTTTTCCATGAACCAGAAGCAGGCTGGGGGCAGGTCAGTAGTAAACAATGTGGTTCTATTTATTTTTACTCTCTGGAGAAGGAGATAATACAATTCCAGAAAGTGAAATCATGTTTCTAAGGTTAAGAAACCCTTGTATTGCACCTAGAATAGTGCTATGCACAGAGTGGGTGCTTGAGTTATTGTGGGTAAAACAAAATGTAAACTGGTAAATTTTGTGCATATCTTCAAGGCTGGCGTAAATATGAATTTTTTTTTAAAACACTTGAAAAATTAAAGGATTTGTTTTATATTATGTCCATATTGAAAATATTGTTCATAAGGATTTGTTGGTTGTGTCTGGTAAACCTCTGAACATGCAACAGCAAGATCTCCATGTTTTATCCCATCTGTGTTTCACTCAGGCTTCTAAGCCATAACACAATTGCTGCTGATTCTGCTCAGTGTTAGTTTCTAATAAACAGTTGAGAATATTATTATAAGGAAGTACTACGACACTGAGACTTGTCTCCAGACCATTAAACTAGGGGTCTGCATGTATTCATGCTTGGTGTTAGTTAGCCTCAGGCAGAGTTGAATGGGCCCCCTGCATAACTCGACCTTCAGCTCCCCTCCTCACAGGTATATAAGGGAGACTGTATAGCAGTTGGAGGCTTTTATTATTTTTAAAGAAGCTTTATAAATCAGCAGCACATCTGGAAAAACAACTGACATAGTAAATGCTGTGCCACTGGCAGGCCATGAGCCTGATTTTCCTGTATACCATTGGTTGAGCATTTGTTCTTTACGTTTATGAAACACTCAGCTCTCTGAACGGCCAGGTTTTTGAAAGCTCTTTGAATTGTTTTGTCAGTTAAAGATATTTTGTCAATAGTCTGCATTCTTTTTGCCTTTTTTTTTTTTTTTTTAACAGATTTATTTATTTATTTATACAAGCACTGGGTACAGTCAGAAGTGCGGGAGGGTGAGAGAATTCACCAGAGCCAGAGCGGGGAACAGAACAGGCAGACTGACAAAATACACTGCTGAGGGGAGCAGCGGGCACAGCAGGAGAGGTCTGCGTGCCATCACGCCATATGGGACCCTTGCTGGCGGCTAGGGATTGAACCGGCACTGCAGAGGCTGCGGGGCAGCTTAGCAGCCCAGCACTCAACCGCTGCACCACCAGGGATGCCCACAGTCTGCATTCTTAAAGGCATTCAGTCTACAAGAATTTATTTAGCACTTACTTTGTGTTCTACACATGGAGTGGTTCAACTCTAGCATTCCTTCCAACATTCAGTGCATTTTATTGTATATTCACGTGAGCACATTACCTAGAAATGACAAGTCTAACAAGATCAATTCAAAAGAAAAAGGGCTGACATCTCACTTTTATCCCAAATTAGCAAATACTAAGAGTTGCTTCCAATTTGTTGGGATGTTTGATGCCTTTAACCTTATCTTTTTGTGTTTGCAAGCTGTTTTATTTTGTGATTTTTTTTTTTTGTCTTAATAGGTGGTTTAAGTTTAAGTAGGTATTTTATTGCTGAGCTACTGGTAGTCATTAACACGAAAAAAACAGTTATCAGATTCCCACGACTGTTATTTCAGTATTTTTGTCATAGATTGTGAATATTACTACATAGACTTAACAGAAAAATGTGATTTTTATGGTAAAGAAGCAAATTAACATGGGATATAAGCTGGCCCTAATGACCTAGAGCTTTATTATATTTTACCCTTTCTTATAACACTCCACTTTAAGGAAATTTTATTTGTACAAGAAAGGAGAATTGGGTTATTTATTGATTGAGTGCCCAATGTATGCCTGACTCTCAAGATACGCAGAAAATAACAGATGAGGTTCTTCCCTTTCTCAATCTTATGTTCTAATTAAGTAGCACATCATGAACATAAGTAAGAGTTTGGTAAGTGCTGTAAAAAATGCAGAGTGGCATCCTAGAGAAAATATTTTTTAGATGTAATATTTACCTAGACATCTCTGAGCTGAAATCTGAATGACAAGAAGCCATCTATCACAAGATCCGGGCAGAACGGACACAATTGCAGAGACCTTAATGTAGGCACAAGCTGGCCTCCAGTCTGGCTCTTTGTGTTCATCTTTCAGCTGCTGGTATTGAGAGAAGAGAAACTGGAATGTAGTTAGAGAGGGGCTGGTGCCAAAGGAGGTCTGGGAGAAACAGGAACAGACCAGGGGCCTTGGAGAGTGGATTTTAAGAAGGTGATAAGTCTCTAAAAAACCGTTGCATGATTTAGGAAAGGAAAGTTAATGGTTTTAGAACAATTTGGGTAGTGTGGAAGATTGCAAGGGGCAGATTGGAGGTACATTTTGAAGGTAACAGGCAGGACCTGGATCCCATATAAGTTGGAGAGTGGGGAAGGGAAGGAAAGATCAGGAATGACTAGCTGGCTTGAGGCTTGATCATCTGGTTGTGTGGCTGGATGATATACTTAGGTGGAAGAAACTCTTTTTGCTTTATCAGGGTGAATCAGTAATTTGTTTTGGTCATCTAAGGAGATTTTTGACTAGACAGGTGAGAACCTGCAGTTTCAGGACAAAGCCTCATTGGATATGTAATTTAGGATCTAACTTATAGACCGTATTTAAAGCCCTGATATAAATGGAGAAGGAAGTCCTTGGGTTGAGTCTTGAGAGCTGTATTTAATGGTGCAGTGAAGGAAGAGTAGAACAAAAAAGACCAAGAAGAAACCACTATGTAGTTGGATACAACGACAACAAAAACAGGAAAATGATGTCTTACAGAAGCTCAGGGAAGCTTCAAAATGGAGAAAGAAGCCTCTGTGGGATTTGGTGTCATGGAAGTTTTCTAACGAAAGCAGTAGCATTTGGAACAAGATAAAGTGTATATACACCGTGGGTAAGTGCAGACTCTACTGAATCAGCCCTGTTGAAAAGTTTCACTATGAAGGGAAATGGAGCAGCAGCTGGATCCACTGGAAATGGAGGAAGTAATAGATATCCCAGAGGAGATCGAGGAAGTATTTTGGAAGGGGGATGGTAGGAATAGGAAGGAGAACCTGGTTGTTTTCCAGATGATGATACAGTACCAGAAAATTCTCATAAGCTAATGGGAATGATCCAGTAGAAGAAGAAAATTCTTTTGCAGGACCTCTGGCCATTTGGTCCACAAACATGAAAACCTTTCCCTCCTCGTCCCAGTTGTGGAAAAGGTTTTATTTTTAATTGGTGAAAATAATATGAGTATGATGGGAGGTGGTACATGAATCTTTAAATATTCTTGTTATATGAAAATTTGCCTCTGCTGAGTTCACTTCCTTAGGACTTCAGATCACTTGTCTTGTTCACCACCATCATCTTCTGCCCTGTTGCCTCCTTAAATGCTTACCTGGTGTTGGACCTTAACTCATCCATCCAGCCTCTGGAGAGGTGACTCATGTTGGAATCTCCATCACAGTTAGAACTTGATACATGAAAGGGTTGAATATTTAATGAATTGATGAGTAAAAATACCTAAATTTGCACAAAGGAGCACTTACAGAGGATTTTTTAAATCTGCTGATTCCCTAAAAGCATATCATTTAAAATACTGTGTTCTATTACCAATGTGATAGTTATATTCAGATTTGAATTTTTAAGTAATACAGCCAATAAAGCATGAAATAAAAGAGACAGATTAGTACAGTGGACCTTATCACAACCCAGTGCTAACTTAAGCACCCTATCCCCACCCCCACTGATCTGTTTAGTTTACTTTCCCTGCCTTTAATTAGATTACAGAAATAATTAGCCTAGTTGCAAATTCTGTTTTGTTCTTCCACAAAGTCAATGTCATTTGGAGTTATTCATGAAAATAATTGCCCCAAATGAAGTAATTCATTGACTTTAGGGGAAGATTGTTTTCCAGGTGTTATTTTCCCATGTCCCAGACCTCCACCTCATACAATAAAAGGGGGGTGATAAAACTTATAGGACTAGAAAAATAAAATGTAAATGATTATTTGTTTCTAATTTTTGTTTCTACATTCATTTTTGCTCCTAGTATTTCAGGACAGCATTGAGCTTCACTCTCTGGGATCCATGTGTAAGTGCATTGAATACCTACATTTTATGTATAAGTAAACAATCTGTCAGACTCTGTTTCATCTCCAGGAGATACTGTTCTCTGTGTGGATATACATGTATTCTTTCATTGGTTTATGCACTCTTGAGGAAACTGAGTTTTTAGTTGAGTACATTCTTACTCTCAATGAAATTGAGCTTCCTTTGGTAAAGAAGCAAGGATGGCTGTTAGTGGACAACTAGGAACAGCTGTCACTGTACAAAAATAGGACAAAAGGCTGGTGTCTGACCTCCTGTAATTCTGTCAGGTATGAAAAGGATAGTAAGTAATTACGGAGGCTTGGGGAGTGCCCAGTCCACTTGTTTTTAGATTGGTGAGTACTGTCATTACGAGGAGAAAAACATAGGGCTTGCTTCCCAACCTTTTAATCTCTAAGTTCTATATCCAGAAAATATTATGTTCTCTTGGGATTGTTGTTACTTTGGCCTTTGGCCCTACTGTTTTCCACCAGTCCATAATTCTGCCATCAGTTTATTGATTTGGGCTTACAATAATATTTGTATTTTCCTCAGTGTTTGACCTACAATATCTTCCATCAACTACCTTTCGTCTAGTTTCATGGTCTCAATACCTAGGGCCTTAGGAAGTAAACCAGAGATTGGCTATATGTCTTTATAAAAATTATTTTTTTAAAGAGCTTAGACATTCATCTAATCATATCACATGAACTTATTAGACTGTATTTTATGTGCCTTTTATTTTAGACTTTCCATTCATTTAAAGGTTGCTTTATTTTTTAATGGAAACTTTGGTCACAGCATTACTAAATATACTCTAAACAATGCCTTAGAAGTTGTCTGTATTACCCAGAGTGCAGAATACCCTGAGACTCTGGTGGACTTTAGGAGGAATTGGTCAAAGATCCTGGCTCTAGAAAAGCATTAGATATAATATTCTGAATCAAGTTTCTCTAACTTTGCTCACACTAGAATGAGTTTGACTTAATTATGACCTGATTATCAGGAAGTGCAATGTCTTGATAATCCTGTGTTAAAATCTTGTGTTGGAAGCTCATGGCAGCAACTCTATGGACTTTGCTGTTTTGTTTCCCCCATAAAGGTCCACAGTTGACTTAACTGAAAGGAGGGCAGCTTTTTTGACCTGACTAACTTTCTTGGTCAGCTAAGCAGACTCTTGTCTTGTAGGAAGTACTCTCTAGGATCTTTCTTGCTTCTCTGGCAAGGCAGGTAAAGGAAGAGGCAGGAGGCTGCAACTTAGCCAGGCTGTGCTTTCCTGAAACCAGAGACTGTTACTCTGAGGACTTTCCTGTCTCAACTTACTCCCTGGCCTCTTTGGGCCTTTTCCCTCTCTTTAACATCCCTTTTCTAATCTTAGCATCTGGCATGTAGCATAATCCCTCGTAAAGGAATTTCATTCCCTTTCCACAGGACACAACCTTTCAAGTGCATTTAAACAATATAATAACATTTTTTTTTAATTAAAGATTTATTTATTTATACAAGAATGGGGGTACAGGCCAGAGGTGCGGGAGGGTGAAAGGATTCACCAGAGACAGAGCGGGAAACAGAACAGGCAGAAGGACCAAAATACACTGCTGAGGGGAGCAGCGGGCGAGACAAGCGAGGTCTGCCACGCCACGTGGGAATCTCCCTGGCTGGCGGGGAATTGAACCTGGGCTGCAGAGGCCGCAGAGAGCTTCACAGTGCTGCACTCAACTCGCTGCACCACCGGGGAGGCCCAATATAACATTTAAAAAGAGATAAAAAGGATGCATCTCTCCCACAGCCACCTTAGCATAACGATATTTTAGCACTAAAAGGAGGGTAACCTAACTTTTATTTTACTGAAAGGAAACTGAATTCACAGTAACTTCCTAGACACAAGACAGAAGGAAATAGACTCTCATGTTGCCTATTTTTAGGGAGATAGAGTTCTTTTCCAGGAAGGGAAATTAATTTATTGTAGTTACTAATACTCCTGAACAGAGCATTTCAATGTAAATCTTTCAAATGAATAAACATTAATTTTGTTATTTTAGTTCTGTGAGCAGTTTGATATTGGAATGCAGTGTTCCAGGCAGAGAATGGTCTGAAAGAAGATTCAAGGGGTAAATGATAGACGTGTCACGAGTGCCTGACACGTTGAGAGGTTTAGTAAAGGTGATGTCCCACAGGTGATGGAGGTTCAGTGAGAAGCTCAAGTGATGATGTGGTCACATTTGCCTTAGCAGTGCTAGTGGCCGGCAACCATTGCTCTCTATTTATCAGGCATTGTGCTAATTGTACATGCGTTATCTCAAATAATCTTAATATCTTAGAGAGTAGTATTGTCATCATCTTCATTTTACAGTTGAGGAAAAGGAGGCTGAGATAGTTAAACATGTAGTGTGTAATGGAGCTGTTATCTTAATTCAGGGCATCTGACCAGAGCACAGACAGGACACCTATATCACTGGGCTAAGAAAGAAGAGAATTGTGGGAGTGGGCAGATGTAGTGGGAGACCTAGCTTGGGGGATGGGGTGGGCCTCAACATTTGTAGTGCCGTAAGAGACAATGTTGTTGGTTAAAAGTGAGACTGGATAGGGACCTGATAAATGTCATGATAGTTTAAAGCCTTTACTGGAGAAATTTGAAGGGAACTGACCAAGAGCCTATGAAAGTGGAACTCAGCTTAAGTTGGCAGTAAGGAATGTATGGTGGTACTGTTCTGATTGGTATGACTTTTCTCCATAGATTTAACTGTAGTAGAATCTTCTGCAGCAAGTAGTGGGTTGAATAAGAAAATTGCTTACTTCACTCACATTAAAATCCAAAGGAGGATGGTGACCCAGGTTAGTGGAGTTGCTCATTTTCCAGAACCACTCAGCATTGTAGGGCCTTTCCATCTTCTTCTGCCATTCTGCAGCCTGTACTGATGGCTGCACAACCAACGCTGGATTGCTGCCACATCTGCATCCAGCTCCTGAAAAGGGGATAAAGGATTTATCAACTTCGTCTCTGCTCACCAGCCTAGATCAGTTCTTCTTCCACAGACGTGTACCCCCTTTTGTGTCTTTACATGTCCTCTTTCCTCTTCGTGTACTGTTACCTCATACCCCACTTCCCATCTATCTGGGTAACTTCCCCCCAACTGTAAAACCCACCTTACATGTCATGTCTCCTAAGAGGCTGCTATTCTTGACCCCCAGCCTCTTAAGTCTCTTTCTCTTGTAACCAGGTGGTTTCTTCCTCTGCTTATTCCTGGTTTGTAACTTGAGCTTGCATACGGCCAGTTTGACTCTTCTAAACCACCATGTACATCCTACATATCTGCTACCAACGGGCAATTTCTTTACTCACTTTCATATCAAATTTCCAAGACACACAGTCTCATTGGCCCAGCTCGTCTCATCTTTTCACTCTGGACCATTGCTAACCTGTGTATAGCAACCGTCAGCTGATCAGTCATGTGTAAGAGAACAGAATGGGATACTAACCCAAACCCAGCTGCTCCCCAGGCTGGGTTCAGCACCAAAGCTGCGATCTGTAGTTACAGAGGTGGGAAGGAATATGACCCCATCATTGCTTTATATTCCTGTCAGGACTTGGATATGGGAGGAGTGTTTAGAGAGATACATGCTGGTTATTTTGGTTCATCACTCAGGATTTGATCAGCTGCTTGAGGATGTATTTGGTCATTGGTCTCTTCATTCAACTGAACGTTTGAGAAGCTCTGCCAGGCCCTGGAAATAGAGAAGGGAGGGAGGCCATCCTGTCGTGAGTCTGGTGGTGGGAGAAAAGCAGAAGAGGGATTAGGACACATAACCAGCCAGTCCCATGTAATAGATATGGGAGGAAGGCCTCTGAAGCTGTGGATATCCCCAGGATTCAAACCCCAGAGAGCCTGCTTTGTTAAAGAGCCTATGAAGCCCAAACACTTAGAGAAGTCATCTCCAGAGATATAGGATGATCCCTGGAGGTGGCCAATGACTCCCTACTCTATGTGGGGAGCTGCTAGAGTCACTGCCAGCAGTGGGGTGGGAATATTGTTAGGGGGTTTGTGTGTGTTACTTGGATATGCAGTGCCAATGGCCATCACTTCTGTCCTTGAATTAAATTTTTTTAATTGTTCCCAATAGTGTGATGAGAGTACGTCTGTGAATCTCAGTAACCTCCTCCACCTGCAGCCCCTCTACACCCAGTGGCTCAGACCACCCCAGTCTCAGGGTATGACTGCAGCTTTGCCCATACCCTGGAGTTGAGCTTTAACTCCACAGATTGTCACAGTGACTGCAGGTCAACCAACCTACCTTCGTCTCTTTCCCTCTTCTCCATTTTAATTAAAACTTCTGTTTGCAAATCCAGTCCTTGTATGTAACAGTCTCTTTCTTGGAAAACAAGTAATCTATTTCCCAGAGACAAAAAAACAGAAATGCTTATCTTTTGAAAAGCTATCACATTAGGTCAAGGGGAATTTCTTGTCTCAGAGTGGTGAGAAGAGTCTGACCAGGCCTAGACTCCCATGGGTGTACAAGACAGAAACTGAAAGAAGTTGGAGGGGTCAGGCCTGAGGCAGTCCTACCACGCTAGACCTCCCACTGTTGGCTCAGAGACTCTGGCCCCGAATTTCTCAGGGAAGTCCCTGTAGATACTAGCCATGAGAAATGGTCCTTCTCCAGCTCCCATCAAGACATCCAGGGGCCTGCCTACCCTTCACCTCATCTCAGGAAGACAGTTATCTACTCTCTTCCCTGAGGTTTTCCAGGCTCAAAGAAAGCACCAACTGGAAGTCATTCTCTCCTAGTACACTCTTACTTGGAGCTTACTTAGAATGTAGTGTTCAAGGCAAAGTGGCAAGAAAGACGATTTAAGGGGTAAATAGATGAGTCCCTACCCTAGATGACAATATTCAGAACCACTTTGTACAAGAGACCAATTTTGGTTCCTTTCTCTTACCCCATACTCAGCTCTCTCTTTCTAAAACATATCCCTGCAGCCACCCTCCCATTTCTCTTCATTCTGTCTTCATCCTACTAGGTTTGTGTGTGTGTAACCTGGAAGATGTAAGGCTATTGTTAATCTGAGGGACTATCACTTCTGTCCTTGAATGAGATTTTCTAATTGGCCCCAATAATAGATGATGAGAGTGCCTCTGTGAACCATCAATGAACCTCAGAGAATTTTGGCCCGATGCTCCATGTCTCCATCACTCCTACCTGGATGATGCCAACCCCTTCCTACCCAAACTGCTGCCCAGTCTCTCTCACTAGAATCTATTGTCACAGCTGCCTGAGCCATCCCAGGACAGGGGTCCTCCTGCCTGAGGCCTGTTTTACTCATTACAGTGCAAAAGTACAGCACAGCTTGGTTCTCCTGAACAACTGGAGACTGCACAAGCCTGGGTGGGAATTCCAGAAGGATCTGCGCAGAGTGTTACTTCCCTCCCCCTGGAAGCTGTGGGTGAGGGGAGGAAGACTCCGGAAACAATCCAAGGCCAGGATGCTTCCACTGCATGAGGACTTTCTAGGCAGAGAATGGTGGCAAGTATTCCAGAAGAGAAGCTGCCATTGGCTGGGTGATCACCTCTGACCTTGTGAGCCCTGGAGCTCAGGGAAATTGAGAGCTGGCCATGGCATAACCTCTGGCTCATTTTCTAAGTGCCAGGCTAGGCCAGGGGCCCTTTCAGAAGCTCAGCTATTTGTTTATCCTCAATTAACTTGCTGTGGTCTATCCAGTTGGTATCCTGTGGACTCATTATTCTCTTCTTCACTGACCCTGCCACCCCACCTTCTTTCCATGCTAGTCCTCTTCCTTCTTTTCTGACCCCCTCTAGGCCATTAACCCTTTTCTGTTAGCCATTGCTAGTCTAGATTCAGCCCTCTTTCTGAAGAGCTTTATCTCATTCTTCCTCTTGTCAACATTACTATGTCCTCCCATATTCGATCCCCAAGTCCTGATTCTGTTTATGGTCCTCATTCCCTATGATTTTTGCATTTTTTGTGACTTCCTCCTCTGTCTCTATGTTAACTTGATAATGACTTCACATTCAGTGTCTTCCCCAGCTGGCTTCCATCACATTTCCTGGAAGAGCTGCACCTCAACTACCCTTGGTCCATGGCTTTCTTGGTTGTCAGTGGCCCCTGACCTGGGACCAGTGTCATCACTTCTGGGGGCTGCCCAGACTGCAGGTCCTAAAATTCCCAGGGCTGCCAGATACAGTAGCTTTTTTCTCAGACATCCTCCTGGCCATGCCAACACATCACCCTGTTTGAAACTCTTTCTCCCCTCAACATTTCTCTCCTGGGCCTTTTCTTTCTCTCATCATTTACACAGGCTTCCGTCTCTCTCCCATTCTGCAGTGTGGGAGATTCCTAAGGCCCCTGTCCTAGTCTTCTCTCTCCATCTTGTCCCTCAGTGATTCCTTATGTTCTTAGATAATGATGTGTGGCCAGCACCCTCACCATGGTGTTTCTGTCCAGGCTCTTTTGAGCATCTCTTTTTGAACATCCTCACCTCGATGTCATAGAGTCATCGCAACCCCAGTGAAACCAACAGAAAATTCAACCTCTCCTTTTCTCGGTCCTCCACCAGCATCTGCCCAGGACCTTCACTCCTGTTGTGGTTCTTCCTTAGTTATTCAGGGTTAGAATTTTGGGACTCTCCCAGAAGGCCTCTGTAGCCCCTTATCTTCCTGAAAGTATTCGTACGGTCAAGGGAGCCAGCCTCTCGTCTCCTCCCCCTGCTCCCAGACATTTTCGGACAACCTCCTATTTGGATCTCATGCCCCATTTTTTCCCCAGTGCTACCCTGGCTACCAGTAACCTTCTCCTTTCTTTTTGAAAATCACGCAGGCATTTATTTCAAACATTCTGAAAAATTTGTCATGAGAAGTGTTTTCCTCTAACAAGTATCTATGAATTGAAGCATGTGAATGTCAAGATGTCTATTTTTTGGTCTGTTACATTGTAAGCTCCCTAAGCAAAGATGGACTACCCCACCCTTTCCTCTACAACTTGTCTTAACACTAATGGTTCATTAAATAGAATGACTTCTTTAAGCAAAGTATAATTTACTGACCATGTAAATGTATTCTTCCCACTGAAAAACAGAAATGGAATTTAAGAGTTCCTAGTGAAAGAAAAAATAGAAACAAATGTGTTCAAAAAGTTGAGAAAGCTGCGCCAGAAACAAGGTTGATTTCTAATACACATTCTCAAAAGAAACAAAAACAGAGATGGAGTGAATCCCTATTATTGATCTACAGGTTAAGATGGTAAAGGGAGTTTTCTTTTCCCACAGCTGTGTCCCCACAGCATTGCATAGTGTCTGGCTCATGTGTTCATGTGTTTATCCAGCCCATGTTTACGCATGTACATGATCCAGCCAGAGTCCCTGCAGTTAATTTTCTAGTAATGGTAACAATTTCCGTCCAGTGACCCTGACCTTTGGGGCCCAGACCTGAGACCTCCGGGCGCCTACTGAGGTTGGACTACTGCCTGTGACCATAAGCTTCGAAGGAAATGATCCATGACCTAGACATCACCAACTCCCTGCTCTAATTCCCTGGCACAAACATCACCTAGAAAGTCATTCTGAAGCGTTGATACTGTTGGCTGACCTACCATGAGAGGGAGGCACCAGCAGTTGCCACAGTGACTTCATGAGAAATGACCTTCCCTCATTCCTTCCTGTGCCAGTAATCATTGTTTAAAAAATGTTTTTGCAGTGAAATTAGAAAATGCACAGTACTTCTGTTACAAATAGACTTTCTCATCTTAGTGCAGAATACTAAGATGCCTTGAAATTGTTTTTGAAAAACTGAGGAAAATACATTGTTATAACAACACGTATACTTGCTGCAGTAAGCATTTGATTAACTTTTGTCTGAGAGGAAGTGCCAAGCTGTGGGCATATGACTACAACGAGTTTATTCTTGGGTTAACTAAACCCTAACAAAAAGAGAAAAAAATATTTTTGAAGGCTAATGTTGCCACCTCTTATCCTATCTCCCATGTCTCTTAACCTCTGTGATGTATTCTGGGTGACTTTTTCTAACCTGCCCCACTTTTTTATAGTCTGTGGCTCTTCTGTTCTTTAATATATTTAGGTTTTAAAGTTCAGTGACTCTGCTTTTCATTTCTAAAACTATTTTTTCTAGCACAATATGTGTTATCTTATTTTACCTAAGTAGTTGCTTCTGTTTTTTTATTGCATCTTTTATTTCTTTAATTTAATTGCAAACATGTCTTTTCAATACTCTGGATCTGTTATTTCCATCTCTTGAAGTTCTTGTAAGTCCAAAGCTGCATGTGTTTTTGCTGACTCTCATTCATGGTGGTTTCCTTTTTTTGTTGTGGTCTATATGAGACCACATGAGATCCATGGGATTTTGATTTGAGAAATCATACTGTGGGACAGTAAGATATAAAGAAAAAATAATATGGGGGATTATAATTATGTACAGATGATTTTATAGTATTCCTAGAAAGTGTAGGAAATTCAACAGGCAGTTGAAACCGTAAGACTATTGGAATCAATTTTCAAACAGCAAAACCAAAAAAAAAAAAAAAAAAAAAAAAATAGAAAAGCAACCTGGTCAAGAATAAAGAATAGCTTCTAAAATCATTAGCCTTGCAAGTAAAACAATAAGAACAATCAGGTTACCTTTAAAAAAAAAAAGGATCCTAAAATGGTAGCTTTGAAATAACTGCAGTCTAAAACAAGTCAACAAATGTGCATGATTTACATGAAAACTTATCAAGTGATACTAAAGGTGGTGGTTTTATTAAGAAATGTTCCTGAATAAATGGGGAGGTCAACTGTGTTCCTGGATACAGTGACTCAAAATCATAAATGTGTTGTTGTTTGAGAACTTTTTAAATGAACTTCGTATTTACAATTCTATATAAGAAACTTGGAAGTTGCCACTCTATCCTAACAACCAGTAAAAAACTGAACACACTGAAAAATTAACATTTATTCTTGGATTTATTTTTTTAATTTAATTTAATTTTATATATTTTACATCATTTTTCATTTTTGCACAATGATGCTTTTTCATCTTGGTTATAGTCCCCATACAGTTCCCACCCCCCTTATTTTGACCCTACTTCCTCTCCCCCCCCCCCCGTAGTGTGTCTTTGGTTTATAATTGCTTGTTGATTTTGATTTTTACTTTATTAGAATTAGTCTTTTTCCTGGGCCCCTATTTAGCTTTTCTAAATTCCTGCTATGAGTGAGACCATCCAGTATTTTTCTTTGTCTTTCTGGCTTATTTCGCTGAACATGATCCCTTTCAGCGAAAGGGATTTGGATTTATAATAGAGGTGAGGACACAGGGCAAATCATTGCCACCAAGATTCGAGAGACAGGATAATACAGGAATTCGTGGTTTATCCAGCAGAGATTGTTCAGTGCAAATCACCATGGGGCCAGTCCTGGGGTAAGGAAAACTGAATTATAATTGACAAATTTCTGGAGGCTCAGTGCAGACAGTATGAGAGTTTAAAATTACAGGAACCCAGTCATAGGATGGTGCCCACACTTTTGTGAATTTTACCTACTGGAATTTAATCAGGTTCTCAAGTAAATAAGAGAAAAATCCCTTCATGCTTCCAGCAGGGACGGGGGGAATGGAACCATTTGGAAATATGCCTGGGCACTCTGTTCTTCTGTGAAGGCTAGTTCTCAGGGGCAACTTGTTGACCAGGGTCTAAGCTGTTCAGGTATCAGAGCCTAACTGACAGGACAAAGGGAAATACCCACCTCTGGAACCCTCTATCCACCCTGCCCTACCTAAGGAGGGAGAAAAAAATCTTCTGTGAAGTTCACAGTCCAGAGTCATGGGCTCAATGAAAGACCCACACAATATTTCCTTTCCCCCATATACCTAACTACCACATTACAAAAGACCTATTTATCTAAATAAGGGGCCAGGAAAAAGACTAATTCTAATAAAGTAAAAATCAAAATCAGCAAGCAACTATAAACCAGAGACACACTGCAGGGGGCAGGAGGGGGGAGGGAGGAAGAAGGGAGTAGGATCAAAACAAGGGTGGTGACAGTTCCTTTTACCCACTACATCATTTACAGCTATCAATAAAACAGTTACAAGGCATACTAAATGGAAAAATACAATACAAAGAGACAGAGCAAGCATAAAAACCAGACACAGGAGGGATATTGGAATTACCATGCAAGAAATTTTTTTTTAAGATTTATTTATTTATGCATACAAGAACTGGGATACAGTCCAGAGGTGGGGGTGAGGTGGGTGGGAGGATTCACCAGAAACAGAGTTGGGAACAGAACAGGCAGACTAAAGTACACTGCTGAGGGGAGCAAGTCAGGAGAGGTCTGCTGCGCCATGTGGGTAACTCCCTGACTGGGGATTGAACTCGTGCTGCAGTGGCTGCCGGTAGCTTCATAGGTTGCATCTTAACCCCTTGCACCACCAGGGAAGCCCACCATCAAGAAATTTAAAAAAGCTATAAGTAATAGGTTAAGAACTATAATGGCTACAGTAGGCAGCATGCAAGAACAGATGGACAATGTAAGCAGAGAAAGAAGTGCTAGAGCTAAAAACATACAGAAATGAAGATGGATGTAGTAGTTGTTGGATGTATTAGTAGTCTGGACATAACTCAAAAAGGATCCCTGAAATTGAGGATATAGTAATAGAAATGTCAAAAACTGAAAAGCAAAGAGAATAAAGACATAAAAATATATACCGAAGGGCTAAGGAAAAGCTTCAAAAGCGTTACATGTAATGGGAATAACAGAAGGAAATGAGAGAAAAGAACAGAAGAAATATTGAAACAATAATTGAGAATTTCCCCCAAATTAACATTGGATACCAAACAACATATCTTTGAAGCTCAGAGAACACCAAAAGGATAAAAGAACAAAATAACAGCCTAGACCTACACATAGGCCTATCATTTTCAAATAACAGCAAAGATCCTGAAAGAAGCCAAAAGGAAAAAACACCTTGCCTAGTGAAGAGTAAACATAAAAATTACACCTGACTTCTCAGAAACCATGTGCACAAAAGGAGAGTGGCATGAAATTAAAATGTTGGGAGAGAAAAAGAGTCACTTTGGAAATCTATACAAAATTTTCCTTCAAAAGTGAAAGAGGGGGCCTCCCTGGTGGCACAAGGGGTTAAGCACCACACTATGAAGCAATCCGCAGCCTCTGCAGCACAAGTTCGATCCCTGCCTGGCCAGGGAGCAACCCATATGGCGCAGCAGACCTCTCCTGTCTTGCCCGCTGCTCCCCTCAGCAGTGTACTTCCGCCAATCTGTCTGTTCTGTTCCCCACTCTGTCTCTGGTGAATCCTCTCACCCACCACATCTCTGGCCTGTACCCCAGCTCTTGTATGCATAATTAAATAAATCTTTTAAAAAAAGTGAAAGAGGAATACTTTCTCAGATAGACAAAAAAGTGAGGCAGTTGGTTGCCAGTAGACCTGTCTTGCAAGAAATGTTAACAGAAGTTCTTTAAAGAGAAGGAAAATAATGTAGGTCAGAAACTTGGATCTACATGAATAAAAGAAGCATTAAAGAAGGAATAAGTGAGAGTAAAATTAACTTGGCAAGTTTGTTTTAAAATTTATCTGGAAAGGAAAATATACATGGGTAGTGAAGAATATTTGCAAAAGACAATGATAGTGATGGGAGCACTTTGAAGGTGGTGGGGGTCACAAGCTATAGGTTCACTACCCAAAATGCATGGAAGCCAATACTATGACACCTACTTTTGAGAAAAGACTGTAGTCACAGCAAAGAAAAAGGAAGTAAGTTTCAATCTCTCCCTGGCTGGAAGCTGGCAAGGGCTTTCACAGGAGCAAAGAAGGAAGAAAAACTTGGAATGAGAGAGCTCTGAGACTTGGTTAACGTATTTGTCAAAGTCCTTTTCCTATGAATCACTCTAAACAATAAAGCAGAGTAAATAATAACTTCTATAAATAGCAAAAGACTGTAAAATGACTATAATTAGAGATCTGATTATAGTCCTTTCCTGATCTAACAGGAAAGTTTGCTCAATTTTTTGGCATATGATCTTAACATAATAACCAGAATTGATAAGTAATATTATATCAGAAAAGACTTTTAAGAAATTTCATGTAATTTTTAGACTTCTGTTAATATATTAGTTCATCTTTTCTATATTTTATTTGTGAACAATCATTTTACTTGAGTACAAAATTATTTCAATTCCCCTTTCTTAAAACCCATGTCCTTTATCTTGCATCTGTGAAAACAAGCCTTAAAAGAGAAGTTAGATATGATTTTTTTTTCTTTTGGTCTAGGTCTGAGGGCAAATTGAACTTCATTTCAGTAAGGACTTTTCAATTACTTTTACTGAAGATAAATCTATATATATATCTATAGATATAGATATAGATATATATATACATACACGGGTAGAGTGTGTGTGTGTTTATATATATATATATATATAATATATATACATACATATAGTGTGTGTGTGTGTATGTGTATCCAAATTTGAAAAATATATTAGTGGAATAGAATAATGAGGCAAGAAATGGGCACATTTACACATGTGAAAATGGGGATAAGATTTAAATGATATTTTCTTAAGATGCAAAAACTATTCAAAAATTGGTGTTGAAAATCAATCTATTAGGAGAAAAATAGTTATTTTATAAAACGCTTCAAATTTAATATTTAGATGGATTTAATGCCATGTTTAAAAAACTAAAAACGTAAATGCAGGAAAAGAATTTATAGGTTTAAATCTTGGGGTTCATCAGGGAAATGCAAATAAAGACCACAAGATACCACCTCACACCAGTGAGACCCATATCAAAAAGACCAGAATTAACAGGTGCTTGCAAGGGTCTGGAGAAAAGGGAACACTCTTACACTGCTGGTGGGAATGTAGACTGGTCCAGCCCCTATGGAAAGCAGTGTGGAGGTTTCTCAAAATACTAAAATTTAATCTTCCATACAACCCAGAAATTTCACTCCTAGGTATCTATTCAAACACAAAACTAACAGTGCAAAAGGAAAGCTGCACTCCTATGTTTATTGCAGCACTATTTACAATAGCCAAGATATGGAAACAAGCTAAGTACTCCAAAACAGATAACTGGATCAAGAAGATGTGCTGAATATGCACAATGGAATACTACTCTGTGACCAAAAATGATAGACTCATGCCATTTGCAGCAACATCAATGGAGCTGGAAGGGATTATGCTAAGTGAAATAAGATAGGAGGAAAAGATTAATAACGGATGGTGGTGTTGATATGTGGAATATAGAGAAACCAAAGGGTCAAAGACAACCATCAAAAGCAACTCTTGAAAGCTGAGCATGGACCTGAGGCATCTAGAGGGGAGAGGGAGGTGTGGTAGTGGGGCAAGTCTGGGAGGGAGAGCACAGTGGACTGTGGTAGAGGACTATGCGTGCTTTGGTGGTGGGAGTGCTATGGTGACTACACCTGAGGGGGAATATCCTATACTGTCAAAACACCAATAAGGTTGTAAAATGGTACTTCAATTAAAAAAATTAAAAAGAAAAAAATTAAAAGAATATATTGTGACATGTGGAAATGATATGAAATTCAAATTTCATTGCCTATAAATAAACTCACTAATTCCTTTCAGTAAAACAAAAAACTTTGCGGTAGTTGAAACAGCCTGATGTGACTTAGCCCTGCACCTCAGGGTAGCCAGTGAGGCCTCCTGGGCTGGGGGATGCATTTTGCCCCACTACTGCTTTTCCCCACCAGGTAGGGGTCCTAACTCTGCCCCTGACATCTGAACACTGCCTTTGACTTCCTGTAGGAGGGGCTGGGAAGGGGGCAGAGCAGAGTTGCCATGGGAGTTTAAAAGCCAGAAGACACACAGCCAGCCCTTTCTCTCTCACTCAGCTCTTCGATGGTGGATGATGCCAGACCCTGAAGCTCTCCAATCTCTTCGGTGAACTGCCAGATTTCCTCCTCCCACCCCTCCCAAGTATCCAGCCAGCTTCCTGGCATTTGTCCCAGGCCTAGGCAGGCCATCTCCTGCTTCCTCTACTGAGAGGGCCAATGGCTATCTTCCACATACTGTCCTGTATTTTTCTCTCTCT